AATGTGCAGGAGCTTTAAGTTGCTGTCCTCAGGGCACTCCTCATGAGGTTCAACAGACTGTACTGTACTTCCCATTTGAAGGATCATTGTTCTTTTCAGAGCAAATAGAACTAGGATTCACGGTCTTAAAGGTTTGAAGTAATTGAAATTTCGGAGACTCTATGTACCAGCAGGGTTAAGGAAGCAGTATGGGCTGTTGTTTTTCCTCAACCAGCCAGATAAGACCAGTAGAGGAGAGGGACCAGGGGTTTTAGGCCTTTTCCTCCATATTCAGCAGGTCCTGCACAGTCCAGCCCTGGCCACTTGGGGTCTTAAAACATTAATCTTCTTTCAAGAGCTTGCTTATGTCCATTCCACATCAGGTGCACACGTGCAGAGTTGTCAGACTTTTAAGCCAGTGGTATCTGTAGGGCAAGTACTATTGCCCCCCCTGGAGGCCCACGCTCATCTGCCAGTACAAGGGGTGCTACTGGCCCTGTATCATCTTAATTCCACCTTACTATCCATGACTTGCTGGAACAGACTTGTTATTTTTCTTGTGCTTTTTTTTCAGTGCTGGCAATACCCTTGTTTGACACTGATTCATCCCCACATTCCGAGGGTTTTTCCATGTCAATGCCTGGCACTTCCATATCTCCTTTATCTGGTGAGGAAGATCAGGCTTCTATCATGACCTCAACTCCTCCTAGAAACTCTACTCCAAGGTGCAAATTCACTTGTTCACAACCAGCCATACCACACTGGAAACTTGCGCATTGGCTGCCATCATCTATGCCAGTACCCCCACGTGGCCCTACTGGGACCCCATGGTACCTTACAGAGCTCAGCAGCGACAGTATCACCTTGTTGCTCAGCTCCAGTCCAGGCCTACCTCCATTGTGTCCCTTGACGCCTCAAAGGACCACACAGATTTTGAGCAGCCATTAAGTGACAAGGAATCCACTACTTCCTCTCACCCACTTACCCAGATATCTCCCTCCTCCCCAGGGGACACACTCGTGCCTCTGCAAGCCCTATCTGGGGATGATCTGAAGGTTTTCCAAGACCTTGTTAAGAGGGTAGCTGAGGTCCTCGAGGTCTCGTTAACCACATTGCCAGAGACCCAACATAAATTCACGAGCAGCTTCCATTCTTCTCCACCTAAGAGGATTGCTCTCCACATGGACCCTGCCCTTATAGACCCAGCAAACAACTTTGACAGATATCTGCCACCATTCACCCTGTGGGCAAGAAGGAGGTTAGGAAATATTATGTGGCTCCTCAGTGTGCTGAGTTTTTATTCTCACCAGTGTCTGGAGAAGGCGGCAGCCAGCCAACCAACCCACTCCATCTCAGACCTCTAACACTGGGCAAACTTTTTGAAGGTCTGGTCAAGAGCTGTCAGATTTGTCTTCCCTCACCAAAGCCTCTAATCCCCCTAGTATACAACCACAGATAAGCACTGTTTTACCATCAGTGGTGCCTCATAACTACAGACAAATGGGTTCTGTATGTGATAAAGTTCAGGTACTGCATCTCCCTTCCTGTCTCCTCCCAAACACCCACCCCGTCACTCTTCAGGGGCCCATCTCACGAGACTATCCTGTGTCAAGAGTTCAACCACTTGCTTCATATCAATGCAGTGGAAAGAGTACCACAACAATATCAAAACACCCGCTTTTACTCCTGATATTTTCTCACAGAGAAGTCGGGGGCTGCAGACCCATTTTCAATCTCAAGAGTTCTCAACGGATACGTCCTGTACCAACGCTTAAAGATGGTTCCCCTCTCTACCATCATACCCTCCCTCAACAATGATGATTGGCTGACAACTCCTGACCTCCAAGATGCATACTTCCATGTGTCCATACTTAGGCGGTACCTAAGATTCACATCAGGGGGACAACATTTCCAGTATAAGTACTACCTTTTGGCCTATCCTTGGTGCTGTGGGTCTTTTCCAAGGTCTTGGCTGTTGTGGCAGCCCACCTTTGAAGACAGGGAGTGTCAATTTATCCATATCTTGACGACTGCCTTATAAGGGATTAGTCATTCCAGGAAACTTAGCACTCAGTCACGATCACTGTGTCACTGTTCTGTACACTTGGCCTTCAAATCAACCTCTCCAAATGCCAGCTCCAGCCAACCCAAGTACTAGAGTTTATAGAAGCTCATCTCGACTGCATCCGTGCTATCGCATCCTTACTCCATTAGAAGTTCCTCCCAATACTACAACTAGTACAACTTAACACCATGCCTCCACAACTTCCTGCCAGAGCGTGTCTGCAGCTAGTAGGCCATATGGCAGCAGTGATGACAGTAGTCCCATGTGCCAGATTACACATGAGGCCTCTACAACACTGGCTGAGCACACTATACAGACTTTAGATAAACAGCCTACACAAGCTGGTCCAACAGATCCTCTTAGCAGTTGGAGAACAACTGCTCGCAAAACTTACCTGTAGAAATAGCGCAAATTCTCCACCTCATCTCACCTCCGCAATCTCAACCCATGTTTGGCTCCATTACTGGCGATCCTGCAATACATAACCAAACTAAAAAACTTGGGTCTTCCACTCAGTTCCCTTAATGTTCACCTCTCCACCATAACTGCTTTACACCAGCCAATAGACAGCAAGTCACTATTTGCACATCCCACAACCAAAAGGCTCCTCAAAGGATTGCAGAACACTTATCCACCAATCAAGCCTCCGGCCTGGGACCTCAATTTGGTTCTGAGGGCCTTAACTCGTAAACCGTTTGAGCCTATGGCGACCTGTTCTTTGCTTCACCTTTCCAGGAAGGTGGCTCTACTAATGGCAATAACATCCGCCAGCAGAGAGAGCGAAATTGCAGCTCTCCTGACAAACCCAGCATTCACCACTTTTCATAAGGACAAGTTAGTTCTCCGACCTCATCCTAAGTTCCTGACAAAGATGCTCTCTTCTTTTCACTTAATCAACCTTATCAAAACTTATCTGTTTTTTCCCCAAATGCCATACCAACCAGACAGAGGCCACAGTCCACACACTTGATTTACAAAAGGCCATTGCATTCTACCTGGAAAGAACCAAGCAAATTCGGAAAATCAACAGGTTATTCGTATCAGCCATTCAACGATCCCAGGGACTCCCCATCTCCTCCCAGAGGATCTCAAAATGAATTGTTGAATGCATAATAATAGCATATTCAACCTTTGGTAAAGAACCACCTGCACAGCTTTGTGCATATTCGACCAGGGCCATGGTAGCATCAACAGTCTATGTACAGGGCATCTTCCTGTCTGATATATGCAAATCGGCCACCTGGTCGTCTACTCATACATTTGCTGCTCACTATGCTCTGGACTCCTATGTGTCCAGAGGAACTGCTTTCGGACACACAATCCCTACCATGGTCCAAAAGGACACTACACCATCTGACGCACCCACCTCCAGCGGATAAACTGCTTGTAGTCACCTAAGGTGGAGCACCCACAGGGACACTCCTTGAAGAAGAGAAGGTTATGCACCCTCTGCAGTAACTGACATTTGAGATGGGTGTCCCTTCTGCTTCAGTATTATCTCGGTACTTCCCCAGGGCAGAGAAGGAACTGAGGAGATCATATCTCGCGCATGTGCATTGGCCACCTAGCGTGTGTAGCGCTTTTGCACATGTGCGAGCTAGCTGTCAAAGCCACTGCTATTAAAATCTTCCAGCTAGGTGCCCTGCAGTGCCAAAACATCTAATGTGGAGCACCCACAGGGACACTCTCTAAGAATGTTAGTTACTGCAGTGGTGAGTAATCCTTTCATTCCACAGATGTCAAGAATTTCTCCTCAGTAGCCATAGGAATGTTCATTCTGACAGTTCTTTAGTTACAGCCCTATAACCATCCGAATGCCCAAACTAACTAAAATAGCATTAAGTTGGAATTATTAGGATGGAAATGTGTTAAGACAGTTTAGCTGCGTCTAGACTGGCATGATTTAGTCTTTTGAGCAAAAGCATCCGTGCCAGTGTAGACGCTCTCTTGCGCAAGAAAGCGTCGATGGCCATTTTAGCCATCGGGCTTTCTTGCTCAAGAAATTAATTTGCCTGTCTACACTGGTCCTCTTGTGCAAGTATTCTTGCTCAGGAGGACTTATCTCTGAGCGGGAGCATCAAAGTATTTGCGCAAGAACCACTGATTTTGTACAGTACAAAGTCAGTGTTCTTGTGCAAATACTCGTAGCCAGTTTAGAGAGGTGGCAAGATTTTGCGCAAAATCTTGCCAATCTAGATGCAGCCTTTATGCCAATAACGTACTTTGTGTCTGAGGAGGTCTCATAGCATTGGTGTTAATAAATACTGCATTGCTATGCTTTCATGCTGTTTTTCCTCTGAGCTGATGTTAAAGACAAATCCTAGAGTGTGAGTTAATTGTAGGTTTTTGGAATAAATTTAAGCCATATAGCTTATTCTTAAAGCTACCATGATAGTAAGATTCTCAACCTTAGGTCTTGTGCCGTCAGTCATTCTTACATAAGAACTCTTTGAACTTTGTTTGGACCTCTGAGGCACCTATAAGTTTTGATGATAGTTCTACTCACTTTCACCTATCCCACTGGCCATGTTCCAATTAGAATCTCATCCAGAATATTCGAGGTAGTTATTTTTCTTTTTTGTAGTCAGTTGAACCAGCTCTATTTTTCCCTGTCAAATAGTAATTGCTCACTGCTGTTTAGATGGATACCAGGTTTCCATTATAGATTTCCCTGGACTATATCCAAGGGCTGCTTAATACTCTATGGCTAGCACCATGTTTATGATACAGGAAGCGTAGTAGCATAACTATAACAAACTACCTGGACGATGTAGGTTAGATGCCGCCTGTGGCAATGAAACGAGTTTTTAACCATTGTTTTTGGACCACCATATCCCCAAGCACTGGTATCCAGGTTAACAGAAGCATGCTTCCATTGGCCTAGCAATGTCTACACTCAGGGATGTGGGTTTTTCCACACATCTAAGCACTATAATTATGTTGACCTAATTTTTAGGTATACACCAGGCAACGGAATCCTGTGTATCTGATGCCTTTTAAGCAGGTAACTAACTACCTTGTAATTTTAGGTTCAAAAACCAGTTGCTTTTGGGAATTTTATCCATTATCTTTCTGGATTGTTATTAATTCACCTAGTTTCAAATGTTGAAATTGTGTATTTAATGTAATTTTTCATGTTGTATTTAATTATAAGGGAGATGCTTTTAATTCTCACTTTTGAAAGATCTGGTGGAATGTTCCAGGTCTTCTGAGATTTCTGGAGTTGAAGCATTGTCAGAGGGAGGGAACACTTGGGGAATTTTTTTCGGGCCAAAAAGCTGGAGAGCAATGGGAACACAATTCTTAGTGAAGGTATGGATCCAAGAGAGTTGGTCCTAAGATCTTCAGAAAAGTTGAATTAGAAAATGAGCTATCCCTTAACATGAGAGGGAATGGTATCCTGTTCATTACAAGAAGGACTTCCCTCCTCCCACCCCTGTTTTAATAAATAATAAGCTTTAGGCATTATTTTACAACTAGACATACCTTTTTAGTTGTTGATTTTTAAAAATACAATCTAAAACCAGGGGTGAGCAAGATACCTCTTGCAGGCTGAATTTGGCCTGCCATCCGCTGGATCTGGCCCATAGACATCCCTCCCAGGACCCTCACGCACGGAGCAGCGACTGTTTTAAACACTAGGCTGATCCACGTGACTCTGCTCTGGAGGGCGGGGGAGGCTTTGGATGATCTCCCAGTCCCCGGTCCAATCCTCAGCTCCTGTTGGTTGGAAACAACCAGCCAATAGGAGCTGAGAGATTGGCCTGGGGGATGAGGGCAGAGCAAGCCTGTTCTGCCCCCTCCTGGAGTTGAGAGACACTTGGAGGGAGCAGGCTTCATTTTCAGTGGGGTTACAGCAGGCAGGGAGCCCAGCCTGTTTGGGGGTGCTGCAAAGCTGGTGGCCGGAAGATGCTTAGGTAAGCATCTCCCAGCCAAAGCCTGCCTCTGGCATCCCTGCCCCTCCCGTACCCCAGCTCCCTCTCCCAGGTCACCTAGCAAACCCTCTGCACCCCCCGTCCAAGGTCACAACTCCTTCTCCAATCCTGTACCCCCTCCTACACACCTCCTCAAGGCCAGAATCCTCTCCTGCACTCCCACTCCCTCTCTGACACTACACCCCAATCTCCTGACCCAGGTCACAACCCCCTCCTTCACTCCAACTCCTTCTCAGACCGCTCACCGTCTCCTGCACCCCAATCCCTTATCCCGTATGCCTTTCTGCATCCTAGACCCCCACACTTCCACCACAGAAAGTGCAGATCTTGACCACTTTCCAAATCTTGGAGTGGCCCCCCCCACCAAAAATTAGTGCCCACCCCTGATCTGAAATCTTTATGATGTATCTAAGGTTTATTAGTGTTTGTGTTTAGGAAATCATGTCTTAGTCATACAGGTTTAAAGTCAGAAAGTGCTATTTTAACTGACCTATGAATAGTCCAACTTAGTACTACATTTTAAATTAAATTTTAAACACTCTAGGCACTTTAGAAGGTCATTTCCTCCCTTCCTTTTTGGTCAACTTTGCAATATAAATGCTTAGATCCTAGAAATTGTGGTCCACCTTCTAAACATTGTAACAGTTCTTCAAAAGGCTAATGATGTCACATTTTACATAATTTCGTAGTAACAGACACTGGAAATGTGACTCAAAATGTAGTGTTTCTTTAAATATGTTGTTAATTATTTAAAATGCTAGATGTAAAAATGTAGTGCAAATAGCTCTGCACTCATTGATATTGAAAACAAGCAAGTCATATTCTGCATAATATAAAAGTTAGACACAGAAATGAACTGGCAATAGAAATAAAACAAGTAATGGCTTATGCCCATGTGCCATGTGTCTTTGTTTTTGTTATAACTGGTCTCTACTATTATATGGCAAACCTGTTTAGTATTTATTTGCTGAAATATGAAGAAAGCCTGAAATATGAGGGTTCTTTTTTCCTTTTTTTTTTTTAGTAATGTAGGTCCTATTATGGCTGGAAGAATCCATAGTAGATTAAAAAAATCAGCATGCTTGTGTTAATATTTACTAAACTTTAGTGACTAACGTTTAATACAGAAGCTTCAGGGGTAGCCGAGTTAGTCTGTACAGGATAAACTTAAAACAACAACAAATGGCCTGGCAGCACTTTATAGACTAACAAAACATGTAGATGGTATCATGAGCTTTCGCACGCATGTTTTGTTAGTCTATAAAGTGGTACCAGACCATTTGTTGTTTTTTAAGTTTATTTAAGAGAGAGACAGACTGTTGAAGATTTCACATCCTCTTTCTTCAATTCAGGTGTTAGAGCTCGCAGTGAACATGGAAGGGTATATTTATCCTGTAGCTAGGAGCGTGCTTCCTTGCCCAGGTGGGCAATCTCACACTATCTCAACTTGAGCTAGCATGCCAAAATCTGTAGAATGGATATGGTTCTGGTAGAGAGTTAGGCTAGCTACATAGGCTCATACCCAGCGTACTGGGTGGGCTGGAAAGCATGAGCTACTGCTCAAGCCAGAATGTTCATAGTGTTTGTTATTTTTAGCATGCTAACTGAAGCTGAACTAGCACAAGTTTCTCTGTCCTGGGAGATTTCCTCCTAGGTACAGGGTAAATATACTTATTGAGACTTCTCAGGATCATCTAGTAAAACCAGGAAATGTCAAATTTTACATGCCTGATATTTCAAAGGGTTTGTTAAAAAACAAATAGTTAACCAAAGTTTAGATTTTCTACAAAAGAGCAAACAATTTTGCCATCACCTTTCTAATTAGTGAAATATTATCCATTTACTACTCTTCTGTCATGCTATATTTGTCACAACCCTCTACTATCACCCTAATATGCCTCTCTCTCACAAATAAAGTTTTTCTTCCAAGATACACTTTATAAGCTGTGTTAATTGATTAATTAGTATTTCTTTTGTGTATACTACTACTCAAGGTACAGTCTTAAAGGGAGAAATATGCTAACGGTATGTGTCTTTCTTTTTTAAAAGACTCCTGCTAAGAAAGATTCTTCTGCAACTACTGTAAAAGAAGACAAAGTTCATGTGTTGAAGTACAATGTAGGGGATCTGGTGTGGTCTAAAGTGTCTGGTTATCCTTGGTGGCCGTGCATGGTTTCAGCTGATCCTCTTCTTCATTCCTACACTAAACTAAAAGGTATGTATGCATTGCTGCACACATGTTTATGTGCATAGAGACATTACATTTTAGAAGTTGCATTTAATCCTGATAAATCTAAATCCTTTGTGCTTCATCACTTGTCTATGCTGCTTGTCAATTACCTCTGACTAGATAGAAACATGACATTGCACTAGAAAAAAATGTTCTGGGGAAGCTTAATTTAAATGGAAATTTGAAAAGTGGGGAACATGAAGGTTAAAAGTCTTTCAGAAAAATGAATAAATAGGAACAAAAGACTGAAGTAGGAGAGAAAATTAACAATATAGCTCCTTATTTGAAAACTTTTTTTTGGTATTTTCATGTTTGTGTTTTTCAATTAGAGAAGTTACAACTTCCTGTGTTACACCAATGGTGAATAGGATAAATTCTTTTTGGTGGCGGCAGTAGAATTACCTATGTTGCTATTCTTCATTTGGTCAGAAACATAGCTAAGTTCTTGCCTGTAGCTTTATCAAATAATCTTCCTTTCCCCCAGTGTATCAATAATGGAAATCCTGCTTGCCTGCCAGGATGATAGATTGGCTAGTTTTGTCTCTTACTTTTTCATTGTGGAGTGACCAGTTTGGGCTCCTCTCTAAAATCTACAAAGCTTTATCAATCTAAAAAATGAGGTTTAGGTTAAAAAAATTCTGTGTCATTCAAAATCAATTGGACAGCATGTTCCAGAATATCATAAAAACTATAGGATTTAGCAGTTGGAAAAATTCAAACTTTTGCTTCTGTTCAGCGAATTATGAAAAGGAGAATTTAAAACCTATTTTACAAAGCTTCTCAGGCCGAGATGTGGTGTCCAAATCCAAATTTTAGTTGATTACAATATATTTGAAAAGCATTCAACGTTCTATAAGTCATAAGTTTTGTCAAACTTATATAAGATGATCTCTGAAGGAAGATTGAAAAAATTGAGTTTTTAGTCTGGAGAAGAGAAGGACCTACTTTTTCAAGTAAAAGCTTATGAAATTTGTTCCCATTAGCAATGAAAGTGAGAGAAGCACAGCTGTCTCCTCCCCTCACACCAATAACAATTATTTAAACTGGGTTTAAATAATAAAAAGTGATTTTTATTAAGTATAAAAAGCAGGATGTAAGTGCTTGCAAGTGATATCAGGCAGATCCAAGTAAGTTACTAGCCAAAATAAAACCAAACACTCTAGCTAAACTTTAATACTCTGAGAAACTTGAAACATGCAATTTCTTACCCGAACAGTAGCTTTAATTATCTTTTCACACAAGTTAGGCAGCCTCCTGGCTTGGGCTTGATCCCTTCTCACACTCATTTTTAGATGTTTGCAGTAGTCATGCTGGTGGTAAGAAGGAATGTCTTCTAACTGCCAACTTCTGTATTGTTTGGCTCCCGGCCTGTAAGTAGCTTTTGCTCAAGGTGGGACTCTTTTGTGTTCAGCTTCAACTATTTCACTCTCCCCTTGGAAAAGTACTACATTTAAAATGGGTTCCAGAATCAGGCGACCTGCCACATGTCTTGACAGGACCAACTATAGTACAGGCTTGCTGGAAAAACAAGACTATTTCCAGATCATTGTCTTGAGCACTAGGACTGTGAGTTCCTTGATTTCCACTAACGGCTTTCACTAGAAGACCTAAATAAACAGGTTTTCACTTCATATTTCTAATTTCATGTACAAGAACGATGCATGCACATAAATAGAATATACACATTCACCAGGTAACAGGCTTTTCATTGACAGGTCACATGTCACGTTTTGCATAAAGCATATTCAAGTTAGGTATATTCATATAAAGAAATACATTTTCATAAAGACATGGAGATGCAGTGTCACACTATCACTGGACAACTTTAAGAGAAGGGTGGGCCCCAACCAGTTCTTAGCCCTGCCATGAGTGCAGAGGACTGGACTAGATAACATCTCTAGGTCACTTCTAGTCTTAGGATTCTGTGATATTAAAGATCTGCTGGAGACCTATATTTTATATTATTGGGGGATTATCCCTTTTTGTTTGCGCAAGGAGATTTCATATTTAAATAGAGAACTAAGTTGTGTTGCCAGTAAAGAAAGAAAAGTTATTTTAGTTTGTTTTTAGGATGCATATAACTGAGATCAAAATCTTTTGAATAGCCATTTCTGTCCTGTGCAACCTCATGCTTCTGAGAGAGAATAAAAAGCAGATTGGTCATCTTGTTATGTCAGGTATCTTGCATGCCATAATAAGTGGAAGCCATGGTAGAGGATCTGCCCTTCGACGGAGTAGAACTTGTGGCTGGGTTCCTGGATGCTGAGTAGCCTAGCGGCTTGGTCAGCTGAGAGGTGGGCAGAAAAGGGGGAGAGGAGAGGTGGCCTCTTGTCCCCTTCTTGCACAGAAACTCTTGAGTCACTCTCTGTTCAGATCCTTAAGTTTGGGGTGTGGCCTGAGGAGTCCAGATTTCCCATAGTTGAGGTTTCTCAATAAGGTCCTCCTTTTTTTCCCCCTGTAAGAGTGGGGGCTTACTTGCTTTCATGACTGCTGGGTGGACAAGCTCTGTTTCATGCTCTGACCAATGAATGAAACTCCTGCTTTCTCTCTGGTCAGCTCCAAATTGAGTCAGGCTGTGTCCGTTTCTCCTCACTCCAGGCCTGGCATAGTTGCAGGTAAAGTGGAGCAGGATAGCTAGACCAAGGACCTTTCTCCATGTTTAGCCAAAGAACAAAGTATTTCATTCCCTTAAAGATTCAAGGGTACACTGTGGTCCCTTAAAGTCTGTTCTCCATAGATAGAAGACCCTGTTGTACTTTCAAGGTCAACAGATTACTCTCAAAAGAAAATGTCCAGGAACTGCAGGTGACCCCAGTTTTCTTCTTATTTGATTAATCCAGAACCCTCTGTGGGAACAGATTTGAGAGGTGTATCAAGAATTACATGTGTCTATCCAAAGTATGTCTCCACCTTCAGGAACCAACTTTCCCCTTTCCATAGGAATTGCATGACCATCACTGCTGAGAAATGGATAATAGATGTCATTGACCAATGCTACCATATCATTTTCTATTCTTTACCCTCTAACCACCCCCATTTAGTGAGTCTTGTCTTGTCATTAGAGCTTCTTCCAATTTGAATTGGTCTCTGTATTACGTAGGAGCCAAGGAAGAGGCTGCTTCTCCTGGTATTTATTTGTCCTGAAAAAGAAAAAGGGGTTCTTTGTCCCATGCTAGACCTGAGAAGGCTGAACAATACATATGCTGCCTCTGACTTGTGATGGCAGTGCCTGCGTTTGCCATTCCCTCTCTTCAGATTCAAGACTGATTCATGACTTTGAATTTGGAGGACATGATCTTTCACACATCCCTCCACTTCATTCAAAGGCAATTACTAAGATTCACAGTGGGCGTTAATCATTACCAGTGCTTTCCATCACATTGAGAGTTTTCACAAAATGGCTGTGGATAGTATCTATGAAGGAAGAGCATTATTACATGCTTCTGACTGGACGGTTGGCTGATCAGAGGTGTATATAAACGAGACAATGGAAAACTTGAAATTTGCCCTTTCCCTGTGTTATCGGTTATGTATTCCAATGAGCTATAAAAAAAATCTCTTCTCATTCCTAAGGGTAAAATTACCACAGAAGTCACAGGTTCTTCACACTTATTAAGTTTGCAGATGATTACCAAGTTGGTAGGGGTTGCAAGTGCTTTGGAAAAAAGGGTCATAATTCAAAATGATCTGGAGAAATGGTCTGAGATAAATAGGATGATGTTTAATAAGGATAAATGCAAAGTACTCCTTAGGAAGGAACGATCCGTTTCACACGTACAGAATGGGAAGCGACTGTCTAGGAAAGAATACTGCAGAAATGGATCCAGGTCTCATAATGGACCACAAGCTAAATCTGAGTCAGCAGTATGACATGGCTACAAAAAAAGCAAATATGATTCTGGGATGCATTAACAGGAGTGTTGTGAGCAAGACACATTAAGTAATTCTTTTGTTCTACTCTGGTTTGATTAGGCCTCATTTGGAGTATTGTGTCCAGTTCTACGCACCACATTTCAAGAAAGATGTGGAGAAACTGGAGAAGGTCCAGAGAAGAGCAGCAAAATGATGAGAGGTCTAGAAAACATGACCTATGAAGGGAGACTGAAAGAATTGGGTTTGCTTAGTTTAGAAAAGAGAAGACTGAGAGGAGAAATGATAGCAGTTTTCAAGTATCTAAAAGGGTGTTACAAGGAGGAGGGAGAAAAATTGTTCTCCTTAACATCTGATGATAGGACAAAAAACAATGGGCTTAAATTGCATCAAGGCAGGTTTTGTTTGGACATTAGGAAAAACTTCCTAACTGTTAGGGTGGTTAAACACTGGAATAAATTGCCTAGGGAGGTTGTGGAATATCCGTCATTGGAGATATTTAAGAGCAGGTTAAGTAGACATCTATCAGGGATGATCTAGAGCCGTGGTGTCCAACACACTAGCCGCCAGTCACATGGGTATTTGGCTGGTTGAGTTTGGGTAGTTGGCTTGAACAGTGTGTCTATTTAGCCAATTGAGTATGGCTTTTTCATTGTAGCAGTAGCCACTATAGTGTGAAAGATGAACAACTTTGTCCACCCACAACACTTCCAGATAGTTAGCCTTGCTACTATAATCCCAGCACTGGACAAGGGAAATTGGCTATCAGCCTTCAGGATGCATATTTCCATGTCACAATACATCCTGCACACAGAAGATTCCTCCGCTTCATAGTGTGCACCCATCAATTTCCAGTACAGGGTTCTCCCTTTTGATCTTTCTACTGCTCCCTGAGTCTTTTCCAAAGTTCATGCAATCATCGCCAAGCATCTCCACAAATCAGGGTAAGAATATTCCTATGTCTGGACAACTACCTTCTACCTGACTGGGTCTACAATTCAATCCCCAAAATGCACATTAACTCCAACTGAACAGCTCAAGTTTATAGGCACTCACCTGACTGTACCACAACAACAGCATTCTTGCCTCAACAGCAGTTTTTCTCATTGTCAAAC